TTTATCACACATACAAGTGTGTGTGTGTGTGTGTGTGTGTATCTAAATATGTATTCATATAAATATATGTACATGTGGCTTTGCATATATATCAATATTTTTAATGAGGGAGAAATATTTTAAAATTTGGTTTTTGATTTAGAATAACCAAACCAAATTATAATTTTGAATTTTTTTTAAAATCAAACCAAACAAATCCAACTGAATTTAAAAAACAAACAAACCAAGTTTTAAAATCTAATTTCATTCTATTTTGTGGAACATTATAATTAAATACTAAATTTATATTTGGTTTTAAGTTTCTATATTTTTCTTTAATTTTGTGGGTATTTTAAATTGAAATATATTATAAATTATTTTAAAATAGAAATTTTGATAAAAACTATCAAAAATAGAGAATTCTAATTTACAAAATATAAAAAAGTCAGAAGCTAACCTAAAATCCGTAGAATTTGATATAAAATTAAAACTTGTTTTCCCAAAATTTTCCCTTCACTCTCTCCATTTTTCATTTTCCTTCCTCCTCTCTCTTTATTGAAATTGGAACACCCCCCCCCCCAAATTTCATTTCCCTCCTCCATCTCTCTCTCTCTCTCTCTCTCTCTTTGTTTTTAGTTTTCCCCTCCTTCTGCCCTCTCTCTTCCCAAAACTAGGTTGTCTAATTTAGATGTATAGACCTTACGTGTAACACTCCATTCCAAAGCAGGGTTTTTATCTTTCTGATTCATGATTTTCTCTACAAAAAAAAAAAAAAAAGAAGCTATTTAGTGAGAAGCTTAGGTTGAATACAGAGAGATGAGCAGAATAAATGGCTCAAGTTTGCTGTAGCTTGTAGATAAGCTGTCAAGGGAGAAGATTGGTTTGTTTGGTTACCTCTATAAATTGTTATCTCCCCCATTTTGAAGCTTGAAATGTAGGTTATTGTCTCTCTTTAAGTCTAGTTACTCTTCTCCCCTATTTTATGCTTAACCTTTGTAAATAACCTCTAGAAGGCTAGCAAACAACTCTGTTTTATCCAATATTTCTGTTTTAGTCTTTCCTTCAAATGCATCGGTGAGGGTTCCTAAGTTTTACAGTTTATAAAATTTTGTTAGAAAAATTATTTAATAAAGATGGAGTGATCTCCCATATGGGGATTGTGTGGGTAATTCATTTCTTTAATTCTCTCTGTTATGAGCACTAGATATATTTTAGAGGATTAAAGCTTATTAGTTAATTGAATGGTTTGAAAAATAAATGAAGGAATAAGACAAATTTTTTTACACAAAGCTGAAATCTCTTTATTATTCAAGTTGAATATTATTATATAATTGAGAGTGTGGGAATAAGATGGGGACCAAGGTGTCAGCTTGGATAGTTCACTTTAATAATAAAAAATTAATTTGTATGAAAAAGATTCAAATGAGTAATATAGTTCTATCTTTGTTAACTATAGCTTAGTTATTCTTTTGGACTAAATACAAATGAGTCTATCACTTATATGTGATTTAATAAATGATTTAGTAATGCGGTGGGTAAGTATACCTTGCCAACACTTTTAAATTGTTTCTTTTTGATTAAGAAGACTAATATAATTCATACAGGGGAGAGTTGACCTTCATAATATATGTAGATTAGAAATAAAAATAAATAATAAAAATGGAATGGTGGTGATTACTAATGCAAAATTAATGTAATTAGTGTAATATATAAAATTACTTTTTTTGTAAATTTAGAATTGGAGCTTTAAATAATAATAATTTGCAATATGTTGCTGATAGATTTCTAGTTATGGGAGAACTGTTGAACTCAAATAATAGTGAACTTTTGGGAAAAAATAATATTTTTCTACTACTACCCTTATGTTTATTTCTCTAGTAAGAGTTTAACTATTTTTTTTTTAATTAGGAAAGCGTGTCTTACTACAAAGTTTAGTTTCTTCTTTTTCTTCTCATTTCATTTCATATTTGAAATTTTATACTGATAATTAATTTATTTTCTTGTCTTATTTTTATAAGAGAAATCAGATTAGATCATTGATGGAAAAATAGACTAGATGGAGAACCCAACTAAGAAAAGAATGCATGGAGGATAGCCTACTAGGTTACTCTCTATATAATTACTAAGAGCACTTTTTTAAATATTAAGAATGTATTTATATTATTTAACATTTGACACGTAAAATTACGTGTATTATGATTTTTAATTATTTTTTATGTTTGTTTGTGGTGATTAAGGATTGAAACGATGAATATGTATTATATGAATTATATTCTTTTACAACGTATGTGTAATTTGTGAATTATAAAAATTGTAATTAGTGACCTCACAAAAACTGTGAAATTAGTAATTTTTTTTATGACCCATACATAAATAATAATAACTAATTTAATATAATTATTAATTGGTGACCACATAGGAGTCACTAATGTGTATTCATTTTTTTATAAAAAAAAAAAACATATAAATTGTTACAAATTAGTGACCCTAGAAAAGGGTTACAAATTAGTGACCTCTAAACTACAGTCACAAATTAGTGACCTCTTAAACTGCAGTCACAAATCAATGACCACAGTTAGTGGTCACTGATTCGGTCACTAATCAGTGGCCCCAAAAATTAGTATCGAGACTTTTTCCAACCGATTTTATCGGTCATAAATACGATCACTCATTCATTTAGTGACCACTTTCCTTTGTAGCAGCGGTCACTAAACGGCATTTTTCTAATAGTGAATTTGACCCCTCAAACTTTATTTTCTTTCAATTTTACCCTTCTACTAATTCAAATTTGGTCCCTGTAAAAGAACTTAAGACTCTAATTTTATTCAATAAAATTCTCATTTTAATTTTTTTTAAAAATGAGTAAATCACTATAAAAAAATTGTGATTTGTCTATTAAAGAAAGTGAATTTTCTGTCGGAAAAGGCATTTCTTATAGAATTTTGAAAATTTTTTAGATAGAAAAATATGTCCATTAGAAATTTCGATGGACATATATTGTGAAAATCAAAAAAAAAAAAATCATCAAAAAATTTTTGTCAAATTGGAAAATTTTCATCAGAAGTTCAAATTTCTAACGAAAATTCGTTAGAGATTTCCAATGGGAGCCTTCTACCAAAGATTCTATTGGACATGCCATGAGAAATCTCCAATGGCCTTTCACCAGAAATTCCATAAAAAATTTCCAACAGAATCCATCTATCAAAAAAATTCAACGAGAATCTTCATGGTATGTTAGTCAAAAATTATGTCAGAAATTTAGTTTTATTTTATTTTTATTTTTATACTTATTTATAAATTAATAATTAATATAAAACAGCTTAATAAACATAATATATTACACAATTTTAAAATATTTCAATTTTTATTTATTTAATAAATTAATAAAACATTGAATTACATATGACCTAAACTAATAAAATGCATATGGAAGGATAGATGATCTAAAACTAAAGCTACAAGTTCAACCTAGTCTCCTCGTTTGACTCCTATGCTAGAATTGACAACAACGATGTTAATGGAGGAGCTCCAGATGGTTGAGGAGATGTCAAAGGGCGGTGCTCCAATCTTTGGATCACACTTATCAATTGCTGTTTGGTCATCCCCATGGTCCTCATCTTGTAAAGTATCTCAGCAAACTCTATTGCCATCTCTGTGGATGAAGCTGTAGTGGACAATGCTGACTATGAATGTGCACCAGAGATTGCTGCAATCCTAGTCCGTATATACTATCCTTCATCCTCCTGCGAGCAATTCTCATCCACACGTCCCTGTAGCCATCAAGTGTTCGTAGGTCGCATTAAAGTTAAATTAAGGGATTTTAAGTCTCTGCTCAAACCTGTGAGTTGAGGATGTCAGCCGCATGTTGGTGATTTTCTATTTTGGGCAAATTTAAGGGCTACATGTATCCCATTTCAATGTAATTTTTTAAATTTGGTAATGAAGTTGCTCCCAGTATTTCCAGGAATTCTAAGTTATACACTAGAAAGAAGAAGGAGGAGGAGAAGAAGAAGAAGTTATCCACTGACAAAAGCTTAGCTCTCAGAAAAATCCATCGTATCACCCAGTAAAGCTTTTATCGACTTTACCACTTGAGAAAAGGGATGTAACAAAAAATATGCGTCCATTATTGATACACTGTGTCCGTTATCAGTGAAATCGGTTCCATTGTTATAACCACGTGTCCTTTATCAGTGGAAATCGGTTCCATTGTTATATCACGTGGGTTATATAGATTATATATATATATATATAATGATAATTATTATTTATAAGGAAAATATTTAAAATTTCGTTAGAAAATCATTTACGATCTGGATTTTATCAAGGAAATAAAAATAATTTGACCAGATTTAATAATGGTATGATACACTAATCAATATGGTTTATAAGTTCGCATATAATCTAACAAGAATTATAATTATAATTATAATATTTAGTAGTGCAATGGCAAAATAGTAAGACACATTTCAACCAAGGGCATTATTGTCCTAGAAAATTTTTTTCCAACCATCCATACTTTTTATACGTGGTATATGGGATAGGATAGACACGGATTAAATTTGTGAATTTAAGACATATACACGCAAAGAATTAAACGGCCATAATTGGTTTTAATTGGTCGGCTTTGACTCCAATTTACATTGATTATATAATTCAAATATACATATAGATACATATTTGGGTCGTAAATTGAGGGCAAGAACTGTCTAGTGAGCTCAATTCGGAAGTGGATAAGGTTACTTTCGTAAATATCTTTCTTTTTCACTTGGTGAACATCTCATTCCGCTGTTTTGATAATTGATACTGTGGCCGAGATTACATGACACGGTCAAAATCTAACACAAAGTTAGGATCTCTAGATACCCACCAAATTGTGTTACTAGAGCTTGAGCGCTAGCCCCTCCCTCTCTCTCGCTCTCTCTCGCTCTCTCTCTCTTTATATTTATAGACCACCACACCATCCTTTCTAAGTAGTAATTCATTAAAACGTTGTCTATTGGAGAAGTATGGCAAGAGATATGTGCAACTCAGAAATCCCCACGGTATGTGCTTACACAAGAAGTTTTTGCTTCATTATTTATCTTTGTACGATGCCAAGCATTTGCATATTTCAAGTCTTATCAGTTGGGTTTCACTTCCTGATCATGATGCAACTGTAGGCGAGTAACTCGGATGCGAATTTGAATGCGAATTCCTCAACTGATGCTGATAACCCGAGGAGCGGGACTGATCAACCAGTCGACCTCAACAGTTGGTTGCCGGTAACTGCATCTCGGAAGGCCAAATGGTGGTACTCGGCCTTCCACAATGTAACCGCGATGGTCGGGGCCGGTGTCTTAGGTTTGCCGTTTGCCATGTCCCAACTTGGCTGGTACCTACCATCCTAATTAGTTATATATATGAATGTATGTGTATATATAAATGGCCGTTTGCCGTGTTCCAACTTGGTTGGTACCTACTACCCTAATTAGTTATAACCTCCCTCTCTCTCTCTCTCTCTCTCTATATATATATATATATATATATATTTACACCAGCCAAGTTGGGAGAGTATATATATATCGGCATGTGTATGTGTGTGAAATATTTATATATTTATTGTTTCAACAAACTTGCATTAAAAACCTGTACCAAGCCAACTAATTTGACTAATTTGCAAGTGACTCAGTTTGAAAGCCAATCAGTTGACGTTTGATTAATTAAAACTAGTCAAGAATTAATAAAATTGATTGATCTGGGCTAATTTTGATAAAATCATTTTGATTGACTTAAAATAATATATTTATTTTTTCATTTGAAACTTGTATTTTAAATTTATTTAATTTAATTATATTATACTTATCATAAAATAGAAAATATTTTTATTTTACAATTAAATAATATAATTATTAATTTAATTTTTTAAAATTTTTTTATTATTGGCCTATTTTATCAGTGGTCAAATCCATTGATGGATTGAACGATGAGCTAATAAACTTATTGGTTTGATCTTCAATGTGGATTTGAAAACACTGCTTGTGTGTACAAGAATAATTGGTCCATGTGTATCTATTTGTACATTGTAGGATCCCGGGACTGACATTTATAGCGATTTCATGGAATGCCACATATTATTCATTGTGGCAATTGGTTCATCTGCACGAAATTGTACCTGGAAAGCGATTCGATAGGTATTCGGAATTAGGGCAACATGCTTTCGGGGAGAAGTTGGGGTATTGGATTGTGATACCACAACAATTGATGGTTCAAGTGGCCTCCAATATTGTATACATGGTCACCGGAGGGAAGTCGTTAAAGAAGTGCTTCGAGCTCCTCTTTGTCAAGCTCCACCCCACTAGGCAGACCTATTTCATCCTCTTCTTTGGTAGCACAGAGTTCATATTATCCCAAACACCCAATTTTAACTCTCTGAAAGGGGTTTCTTTGCTTGCTGCCATAATGTCTTTCGGGTAACTATATTAATTTTTAAAATAAATTAATTAATAAATCCCACTAATTAAGTAAAATTACAAATTAATTTCTTTTTTTTTTTTTTTTGTGTTGGGCTTTCATCAACAGTTACTCAATGGTCGCTTGTGCAGCATCAATCTCTAGAGGGGTTAACCACCACCACCTTGTTAGGCATGGCATTAGATCCCACACCACTGCAGGGATAATGTTTGATGTGTTCAACAGCCTGGGCACCATCGCCTTTGCTTTCGCTGGTCACAGCGTCGCGTTAGAGATTCAAGCCACCATCCCTTCCTCCCCGGAGAAACCCTCAAAAATGTCAATGTGGAAGGGAGTCAAAGTGGCTTATATGATTGTGGCCTTCTGCTATTTTACGGTGGCAATTTCTGGTTTCTGGGCTTTTGGAGATGAGGTAGATGATGATGTCCTCCTTTCCCTAGAGACACCCCCTTGGCTCATTGCAGCTGCCAATGCCATGGTTTTTATTCATGTACTGGGAAGTTACCAGGTTATGACTTTTATTAGTATGTACCTGTACATTTGTTTTTTTTTTATAAAACTAATGGTATTTTCAGACCAATTTGACCTGAAACTAATACTTTTTGGGCCGCAAGTGTGAAAAATAAAACTCTTCCAATAAGTGCACTTGCAAAGAGATTGAATTTGTTCACTCTTACTGGCGTAAAAGTTACTACCATCTTAACTAACACTTGTTGATTGTAGGTATGTATATTTATTATTATGTAATTATTAAAAGGATTTAATAAACTGAAATAATTTAATTTTATAGGTTTTTGCAATGCCGGTGTTCGATATGATAGAGTCTTACTTGGTTCGGAAGCTCAACTTTGCCCCTGGACGACCGCTTCGGGTCGTTGCACGCAGTGCATATGTTGGTACGTTAAATGGTTATTTGATTTTACTCGAAATTTATTTATCGACTACATAAAATAATTGTCCACTAATTTAAATATTTCATTAAAAGAAGTATTCATAATTATTTCTATTTAGAATAGTCCATCAATAATTTATACATTTGTTAAAAGTAATTATTTATTTATCAAAATAAATTTTAATTTTTTTTTACTTTCTAAACAGTTTTAAATAAATAAAATAAAAAATCCTGATAATCCTTTAAGGAAAAGTCAATATTAAATTAAAGGACAAATAACATTTCATCTCTCCCAAAAAATTCAAATATTAGCACTATACCTTTTAAAGACACATAAAAGAGATATTCTTTCTTATAAATATTAAATTAATAGAACTTACCCCTAATTAATCATTTAAGTGAAATATTTATTGAAATTCTATTTTTAAATAATATAAATATCATTTCAAATATAAATGTTGAGTATTTTTTCTTATTTCAATATTTACCGTCATTATTTGTACTTAAAATGATATTTATATTATTTAAAAATAAAAATTTTAAAATAATTTATTTATTTATGGCATGTTTTTAAATTTTTTATTTGTAAATTTTTAATTTATACATTTTCAAAGTTTATAAAAATAAATAATTTTTATAATTAAAAAATTATGAAATTTATATTAAATTTTAAAAATATAATTTTCATAATAAGGATAAAATTTTACATCGCAACATAAATTATTAATTTTTTTACAACTTAAACTTATTTAAAAATTTTTTATTTTAAATATTCATCAAAATTTTATTTTTAAAGGGTATAAATACTTTTTAAGTACAAATAATGACCATAAATATTAAAATAGGAGAAAATTAATTAATATTTATATTTAAAATGATATTTATATTTTTAAAAATAAAATTTTTAATAAATATTTTATTTAAATATTAATTAAATAATAAATTTTATAAATTTAATATTTACATAAAAGTTTATCTCTTTTATATAATTTTAGAGACATTTAATTCTTCAGAGGCGCAAAGTGCTATTTGGCCATGAATGCTAATTATTTTGACAATATTTTGGATGTTTGACAGCTCTCACCTGCTTTGTGGGAATCTGTTTTCCATTCTTTGGCGGACTGCTAGGATTTTTCGGAGGACTGGCGTTCTCGTCAACGTCATTTATCGTGAGTCCCTGCGTAATCATTTTATTTAATTAACTAATTCGTTAATATATTCATGAAATAACATTTACACATTCTGAATATAATTAATTTTATCTTGTAAAATAGGTAAAAATATATATGATAAAAATTAAAAAATTAAAATTAGTAATGAGTAGTGCTCTATAGTGATAATTAATAAAGTAATATTAGTGTTTTATACAAAATATTAAATATAAAAATATATAAATATAGTGTGACAAAAAAAATTATATCACATCACTTCACTTTTACATGACAACTTAACTATTTAAGTAGACAGATAGGAAAAATAAATTTACCAATTTAGTGTGAACTACTAATGTTTTTTCCCGAATGGAATGAACGTATTTGAGACAGCTCCCATGTGTCATTTGGCTAAAGCTGCAACGGCCTAGAAGATGGAGCTTTCACTGGATGGCATCATGGGTACGAACAATTTTATTATTCTTTATATATAAATAAAAATAAAAATCGGAAATTGGTGATAATAAATTCCTATTTTGTTTGTGAATGCAGGCTTGCATTTTTGTTGGTGTTCTGATAACCATCTTTGCCCCCATCGGAGGAGCTCGGACAATCATCCTCTCCGCCAAAACTTACGAGTTATTTTCTTAATTAGTTTCTAGGTTTCATTTTTGTGTCGTTTTTCTTAATTAGAAGTTTAGTGGAGCTAACAGCAGAGTCAGATATAGAATAGGTCGTGTCTTATGAGATTTTTTTTTTTTATTTTAAAAAAGGCACATGTAATGAGGTGTATCATTGCATGGCATTTTTTATGGCATCAAATTGTACGATTGAACTTTTATTAAATTGTACGATTGAATTTTTAATTCTAAATATTTATTCTTTTTAATTTTGTATATTTGCATTTTTTATGACAATAAATAAGCAATTCATCCACTTAGTACATTGAGTTTTATAAATGACACGAAGCGATTGTAAGTTCACAAAACAGTAATGCACAATTTCTTAAAATCTGTTAAATTGATATGTTCGGGTACAATTTTGTAAACACAATCCTAATTTATTACAAATTTTCATACTCTTCCAAAATTAATACTTGTAAAAATTTTCTTACTAAATTAGGAGCTAATTGTAACACGACTTTTACTATTTTGGACGAGCTATCTCATATTCTTGGCCTGCTATTGTTAACTGTTATGGTTGAAATTTATTTTTTTCGTTAATTTTCTATTTTTTGTATTTTAGACCAAAAAAAAAAAACAATGATGCCCAACCTCTTTTATTCTCTTAACAAATAAATTATTAAAGATGTCCAGAGTTGCATCCTTTAAGTTGTATTCGAAAGTACAAATTAGATCACAAAAATCCAACGTCCAAAAATGTGTTTTTGTTTCTTGTTATATAAAGAATTTATAACTATGTAAATCATTAAAAATTAATTGTCACTCTACAATTTTTATTTGATTGGAACACTTGCAATGGTAATAATCTATTTAGTCCGGTCCTTTGTGGGTACTATTCTAATAATAAACTTGTAAAACAGATCTATTTATCATTTCTAATCTTGCTTCACTTTAATTATTATGTGAACAAGTAGAACTTCTATTTTGGTCCGAGTGGAAATGGCATTTCTATCCTACATGTCCGTGAATTTTAAAAAGTTCAAATATCTCAGAGATAGATAAAATGGTAAGAATTTCTCGAATGAACCGCATTCCTTCTATACTTCAAGAGTCCATTGAGGGTTATGTATAAAAAATAGGTAAACTCTCAGGGATAATTGTTAAAAAGGATAATTAAGGAATAAAAATTATTTTACAGGCCAAAAGGAAAAATTATTCCACAACAGTTCAAAACCCAAAAAATCACACACTTAAAGTAATTTTTACACCCAAAATACCCTCAAATGCTTTTCCTTTCTCCTCCTCTATCTTGTTCAAAATCGCAAGATCAAACTCCAACGTCTCAAGATCATCCGTGCCAACCAATCCAAGCTTATTTCTACTTCTTTTTCTTCATTTAGCATCTCCATCTGAGTAAGTCTTGAGTTCTGATTTTTCCTTATTCTTCTTCTTCTTCTTCTTCTTCTTCTTCTTCTTCTTACTACTGCAAATATTTGCTACTGCTCTTATAGATATCAGTTTCTATTTCTTCAATTTCGAGTATCTTTGGGGCATAGTTGGATCGTGGTCAAAATATGAAAGTTGTAACTCTTTCTCTGAATTTTCCAAAAAATTTTGAATTGCCCAAATCTGAATTTTCTACCTTAAGATATGAATTTTTTTACTGAAATTGGTGCTGTTACGAGTTATTTCTGCTAAAAATTTCAGTGACTTTTGTTCTTCCCATTTTTGATAGCTTCCGAGAAAATTTGAATTGGGATCAAAATACAATAATTGTAAAGATTCTCTTTGGCATTACAAAGATTCTTGAAAATTTCAGCGACTTCTGTTCTTCCCATTTTTCATAGCTTCCGAGAAAATTTGAATTGAGATCAAATATAATAATTGTAGAGATTCTCCTTGACGTTATAAAGATTCTTGAATCACCTCAATCGCTGAAATTCCTTGGAAAGCAGTTTTTTGCAAATGCCAAACTAGTTTTCTGCTTCGGAATTAATTCTAAACAGAATATTTAATTTTGAACCAAACGCCCCAACGTTCGGACTATCTTTAAACATGTATATTATGAAAGACTTAACAAGATAGAACAAAGAAAACTTTCAAAAACGGGTCTGTTAGGATTTTTGCTTTTGTTCTCATTTCTCCGTGTTTATTTTTTGTGTTTTCCAAAATATAAATATTCAAAATTTTGAAAATTTTATAACTTCTGTATCATTTTCTTTTTTGTGACAGAGGGAAAACACTTTCGGAAAGTTTTAAAACTGACATTTTTGTTACTTTAGAATCCAAGGGGTCTTCTGAAAGAAAATTTTGAAAACAACTTCCGAGTAGTTTTCTTCTGAGTTGAAATCTTTTGAAAACAGCTTCTGAGTAGTTGTTATCAGGTAAGGTTGATGGGTTTGCAAGCTAGTAATAAAGGGTGAGGTTCCGATTGGGTGCAGGGATGACCAGATCCTTTTAAACGGGATTGTATTCTACGCAGCGAACATGTTACTGCCAGGTCATCTCACTTACCCATTTGGAGAACAGAAGGGTTACTCCTGTTAACTTTGCTCCACATTGCTCCAGTGGAATTTCTCTACTGCTGGCTCCACAGGGCTCTCCACCACCATTACCTTTACTCTCGCTACCACTCTCACCACCACTCCTCCATTATCAGAGCCCATCACCTGTAAGAAATCTTCACACACACCCCCCCACCCCCCCCCCCACCCCCCCGCCCCAAAAAAAAAAAAAAAACCCAAAACAACCCTCTTTTTGTTGGTCATTTTATATGTTATTTACAAGTTCAAAATGTGAAAAAATCAAAATAGATGCTAACTTAAAATCTCACCCAAGCCTTGGCTTAAGGTGTGGGATAAGCGTGAGGTAGTACACCCAGCATCAGTTGTATCTGTGAAAAATCCAACGGTTATTGGATATGCTGCTCAAGTGGACACACCCAACATTTTTAAAATATTGTTGAAATAAGTTGTCCTGCCTCGTGATGATTGGGTGGTGCTAACTATACTTTATTTTTGGCAATTTTTGTTTGTATGACTCTATTTGTCAAAAAAAAGAAAAAAGATATATAAACTTTCTTTTTTTGAGGGATTGCGTGACTCCATTTGCCCAAAAAAAAAAAAAAAAATAAAAACAATATAATGATATAAATGCTTGTTATCTAGAATAAAATTAGACATCAAAATTGGCAAATGTACAATGTTCCCATTTCATTAATTCAATAGTTGTTATATAAATAATGTATTTATTCAATTTTCAAGGCGTTTAAAGGAAGAAAAAG